AGCTGGTCGCGTCGTCCTTTCTCTTGCCGGGCTTCTTCAGCGGGATGGTTTTAGCGCATTTCCAGGAACTTAGCCAGTGTTGCAGAATCAGGATTGAATTAATGATATAAAGCAGCATGGCTCCTTGCTAGCAATAACAGCCAGTAAGGGAGAGTGGGGTAATTCCGGACGCTTTTTTCCTTTTTGGTCTTTGAGCTTGAATACGCTTCTTGGGTCAAATGTTATTGCAGGAGAGTAAAGTATGGGCCTTTACCTTCAAAATGATACACATGAAAGCCAAATCTCAGCAACGGTTAGGGAGATATAGGCGCCTAACAAAAGCCCTGCACGTGTCCGGAATTACCCCAGGCTGGGGTAATTCCGAGGGGGTATGCACTCGCGTAATAGTCGGTTCACTCTATCTGTAATAGCACGCGTAATAATACGCGTAATAGTCAGGTAATAGCCGAAATTGTCAAAATTTTATCAATTTTGGTGTGTTTTAGGCCGTTTTTAGCTAAATTCCGATTGATTTGTGGCGTAATAGAGCGTAATAGCGTAATAGTCGGTACACAGGTTCAGAGAGCGCATACCCCCTCGGGTAATTCCGGACGACCTATGGGGCAATTCCGGACGACCTTATGATTTGTCACTACTCGAGCTTACTTTCGCTTGTTTTGATGTGAGGCATGCTTTCAGAAGGCGCACAAGGACATTTGCTGCGAACTAAAGTGTTTGATTATTACTCAAAGCATATTATAAGGAAAAGTTTCTATCAAAACCCCTAAATTTACAACACTATCTTGAGTAAAGCTCTTAAACATAGCTGCCATGCTATTTTTCGTTCTTTCTTTATCCTTCTGAACGGTGGGGCTGCATGTCCACAATTTTGAACCCACTACCTGAACATTCCGCGGGAAATTCAAGAAAATAACCTTTCTTGTCCGGATTTACCCCACAGGTAGTGAAAACCTTTGATGTTCAATTATAAGAAAACGGCGAGCTATACGGACACTCCCGAAACGTCAAAGTAAAGTCCAAAGACCATATAATATGATAAAATTTTAGTCATGGGACTGAACTTGACGGTCAGGTACGATAAGTACATGGAAATACGAAGGAAAGATGCAGCTTTTGCCTATTTTTGATGGTACTCAAATTTCGTGAAGCGACCACAGCCAAACGGTTTGACCTCCTACCTTGGCGATTTGGAATTATCATTTTTAACACTGAAACACAGTGAAAATCGAAGTGTCCGGAATTACCCCGTGTCCGGAATTACCCCACTCTCCCTTACATTATTAAGAAAATCATTCATATGTCGTACAGATCCATAGATTCCTTGTGGCATAATGATGAACGGCCCTACTCTTCTGTTTTGAAGTGCAGCCTGCTCCTCTACACATTGACGAAGATTCTTATAAGAGTCAGCTCTAAGCAAACTCTGGTTTTGGTATTCTAACTAAATCTTGTCATACTCAAAACGACAGGCAATAACAAAAAACCACTCAGCAAACAACTTTTTGCTTTCAAAATTAACAAAAAAAAAATACGATTTCAAGAAATCCTAGGAGTCACGAAGTAAATTTGGTTATTATTGTGGAGTATAAGTGTGGAGAAAGAAAAAAAAGTTGTGTAAAAGGGATAGAGGGTGGCTCAGGGGTGGTTACCAAAGGCAGTGGTACCAATGTGGTCGATGTGCCACCCATCAAAATTTGAACTTGACAATAAATAGAAATCAAAATGCCGGGAAATTCGAAAAATTCACATGTTGATGTAATCCACAGTGTTCTGACAATAGAACATCTTTGAAGTCCATCAATATTAAAATGTTCGTAGTGGTTCGTAGCAGAAAGAAGGCGCAGTAAATTAATTTTCGCGGGTTGGCAACAATCTTCTCGGCGTCTGCGCCCTTGCGAAAATAGCGAAGCCGAAAACACGAGTAGTCGCCCATTAAGGCGGGACCCGGGCTATTGCTATAGGTGTCCGATCCGGCTAAAATTTTGTACACAGGTTCGGGACGCATAAAGGAAGCTCCCTTTAAATTTTTTTGGGGCTGGTTTAATTTTGAACGAAGTTATTGAACATTCAAAAACTCAATCTTATTTCAGTTCGATCTCAAAAAGTACGAGTCCAAGAGACAATTGCGTTGCAGAATCGTAAAGAGGACGGCGAGATCTAGTGAAATATGTATGCGCGAAGTTCGTGAAATAATATTTAGGCATTGAAATAGGTGTTAAAAGTTGATCAATTTTTGGCCAATGTTCACTGAGTTATTTTGCAGACAGCAGATCAGTTTCATGAATCGCCATATACATATTTCACTAGGCCCTGATGTCCCCTTCAATATTCTGTAAGCCTTTTTACCCTACGACTGATGGTTCTTGAGATCGAACTGAAATAAAAAGACACTGTTTGCGGCTCATTCTCTTCGTTTTGAAGTTGGCGGTCGACTGGCGGGGCTCTGGACGGTGGCGCAGTGGCAGGTATCGGAACTCGGTGCAGGCCAGGCGGTGCGGCGCGACACATTTTTGACTGACAGCTGACCTGCAGCTGGGCATTGTCTTCGCCGCCTTCCCCCTCCCCCGCTCCCCCCGCGCTAAGCCGGAGCTGCAGACGAGGACCCGGAGCGCGCCCGGCAGGCCGCCGGGCCGCCTCGGACTCTGATCCAGCCAGTCCCCCCAACGAGCTCCTCACGACTTGAACGCGTCGCGCTGGCCAGAATTTGGCGAAAAGGGTGGCGTAAGGGGAAAGGAGTCATACGTTTCATCCACGGTGCCCGATGGGAGAGCCTGAAGGTCGTAGGAGAAATTTTATCTCCGATTACAATCCGTTGTTCGACTGGTGTCAAAATGATCGTGAAAAAAAAGGAAACTGTTGGTACCCAGCCGCCACAACTTAGAAGTCACATTCAAATTTTAAATTTGGAAACTGGAGCGCGTAGGACTCCAGGGCCAGCCGCGTGCCTCGCTCTTCGGCCACTGCTTCCCCCTCCAGTCCCCCCCTCGGCCGTCCCGATTGCACCGCACGGGTGAGACAGAGATGGACAATCACATCTGTCTGAGCACACGGCGAGAGCCGGGCTGCACCGGCCGCGCCGCTCTGTCTGGCCATCGACACTGTCAAAACGCATTGCGCTGTCCGTCACTGCCGAGAATGCACGGCAGGTATAGGACTTTCCACCCTGAACTAGGACCATTTTATTTTTTGGAAGTACCTGACTGTGGTGCCATCTCTCGGGAAAGTGCTACATTGCCAGAACGAAAATGGCAAGGAGTATTCGCAAAAGGAGACTCCCGTCAATACACTTTTTAAGTTCCTTTAGCCGTCGCGGGTGAACGGCCACCGGGGTCCCGCCTTAAAACTGCCCCTCTATTGTTGCTGACGTTGAATTGCTTGGCTTGTTTCAAAAGGCTACGGTTCTCTAGTCATGTTTTCTTCAATTCTGTGTAATAGTTCTCACTCACAACGTGACAACACCACGACGGTTGGTTTGACAAACTTTACATACTTGGGAGGGATGGTTTCGGAACGCGGGTGAGTCTTGTTCGAGGAACATAGGCACTGCAAGTCGCGACGTGGAGCGAAGTGGCCATGGTGCTAACTGAATCAAAAGTACCATCAAACCTCGCTAAAAGGAGCGGCCACATGACCATCTTTCTCAAAAAGAAACTAAAATTCTTAAAGTGACTCAAACTACATTAAGGAAAGATAATTCACAGATGCTTGTGCGCAGGCATGCAGTTTAATGGCTCAATTCTCTCCAATTTTAAGAGGAACAAAAATTTTCAACAAAACAACAACAAAAACAACAACACAGCGGTGCGGGGTTGGTGGGGGACACACTCATAAAAAGTCACTGGCCGGCCGGCCGATCCAAATGGCCACGTTCGAAAACAACGTGAATGCTATTGTTGGATCTCTTCTAGCTGCAGGCAAAGAGATTTTTCATTTAGAACGTGCTTTTTCATCTTTTGGGGTAAGCTGTAGAGGGCCGAAAAGGAGCTCAGCTATTGGTCGGGTCCGGCTCGGCTCCCCCCACTTCCTTCCTTTTTCCTTGACGAGTCGAGTTTTACCATGCAAACAGCGATTTTAAGAGCAAATTTCTCAAAACTGGCCATTAACTTTTTAACCACATTTCAACATTGGAATCAGCGTTCAAAGTTCTACTAGTCTGTAAAATCTCATTAAAATCCTATAGAATTTTTCCTGTTCGGCCACACGAATTGAATCTCGCGCCGGCTGAATCCTCGGGGAAACTATAAGGCTACTTCGTGCCTAAAAAAAGAAAGAAACAAACGTTAACATCATGGTCTCTGATAATACTTCTGTAACCAGCATGCTCTGCAATAGAGGGCACTTCACGATGAAGGGAGAGTACGGCGAATCGTAACAGGGGCGATTTGTAACAAATGCGTTTAGTAATTTAAGTTGAGGGTGTAGAAGAAAGTCTGAGTATGGCCTCTCTTTCGCTAAAAGTAGAGGGTCCTTGAACAATCGAGCGGATGTGATCGGTGCTCAGGTATAGTTTTGGAGGGAGACTGAAACATAGAGTACACCGGAAACACGCAAATCTTAAATTTTGAGTTCTAGGAAGTTCCTGTCTGAGACTCCCTTGGGATAAATCACCATCGAAGTACCGTTGGGGCCTCGAAGCGTGATCCCTTTACAACGTTACCACGTGGCATAAGTTGCCCAATTTTGGCCAGTGATGGTTTGAGACGTACATTTTGCGTAACATGCATTTGGGACAACAGACTCGTTTAAAAAAAAAAAATCTAAGTAGTTGATGTAATAAAGTGCTTGAATTATTTCTCGAATCATCTGAAGCCTTTTTTTCAGTCGAAATGTGACTGCTGACTCGAATGAAAGCCAGGTGAAAATCAATAACGGGTTGGTCTTTTTTCAACTCGTAATCCATGATATCTCCCAAAGTATTTTGTCAACCGTATGAACACTTATTAGCAGGTGAAAAGAGAACATAATGATGAGTATTAGTGCCTTGCCTGACATAGTAATGATACGATACAAAGGTGATATTTTATTTTATGAAAATGATGCTTTGCAGTCCTTCTCTGCGGCGTGACAGCGTCGTGTCACACCGCAACAGAATCGAAGTTCACTTCTTCTATGGGGACGGTCTGAGGTTGACTCGCTGTGCTGGGGGACGACCCTGTTGTGCTGTGCCCCTCGAAGCACCTGCAGAAAGCATATCACCCTCAATACAAAGGCGGCACTTCACTGCCTCTTCTGGTGATTCTCTTGTATAGGTATTCCTGCACTAATATTCCTACGCTAGTATTTTTTGTTTTTGCGACAATTTGGGTTATCATCTCTTTTAAGGCAAGGTTTTCTGAACGGCCCATCGAATCGCCAAAGAGCGATCGATTCAAAAGATCTTATCTGGGCGTTACCCCCAGGACAATCTTATCTTAAACGCAGGCGAATTTCACTTAGTTTGATCATGTGATACAGCTACAAATTCATATAATTTGTGATTCATTTCACTAAAATGTGAAGATGAAAGATCAACGAAACAAAAAGTGCATGTAAAAATATATTCCGCTTACCCTCGCACTCGTCCCAAATGGTCAGACTGAGTGAAATTCACCTGTTTAAGATAAGATTGTCCTGGGGAGAACACCAAGATAAGATCTTTTGAATAAGACCCCTCGTTGTATCGCCAAAAGAAAGATATTTGAGCATCACCTTCTGATCAAGATTGTGGCGACGTGACTGACTGAACTTTGACAATCGTGAGCTGCACACACTACATTCGTATGGTCTTTTTTATGCATAGTTATGCATGCACATATACGTCCATATGTTATGTATAATATTATGCATCACTGTGCACATTTTATGCATGAAGATGCATAAAATGTACACAGTGATGCACAATTTTATACATGCCTAATGGATGTTTCTGCGCATGCATAACTATGCATAAAAAACGCATCATTATGCATTTTAAAAGTCCATAAGAATTTAGTGTGCACCCACCAGTAAACTGCACGGGCATGTCGGTGGCCCAGTTGAAAGGCCTGACCCTGAGCGTGCCGTAGTCCGCCTCCACGGGGACCTCCGCCACGTCGTCCGGCCGGCCCTGCCGCCACACGGCGAGCTGCCCGGGCCGGTGCTGCACCTCCAGCACCACCTCGCCGGGGCGGAAGAATCGGCGGCCTCTCCAGTGTTCCTGCTCACTCGAAGCTGGAGAGAGTGCTTGTCACGCTCCCCCAGGGAGTCAACCACAAAGCACGCTTCATCCTGGAGTGGGCTTGCAAGAACGCTCCAGGATGAAAGCCTCAAAAGTGCCAAAAATCTTCGTTTTTCAACCAAAAGGACATTTAGCGTGAATTTTTCGAGGTCAAAGGAGCTCTGGCCACGAACCTTCTGGGAGTCCGGGACTTCTCCTTTCAGATTTGAGTTAAGGTGGTCCCGGCTCACCTGGAAACCGAGTTTAGTCATGTTCCGGCCAGACGGCTGGCTCTTTTGCTGGAAAAAGGGTGATTTTTGGCACTTTTGAGGCTAAATTACTGCTTCATTTCGCATCTTAGCCCATGGCATGTGTTGACATTTTTTGTTTGTCTTGTTGAGACCCATCCATTTCTATAAAGAGATGTCGATTCGGCCAATTTTAGAACTTGACCCTACCGAAATTAGACTGATTTTGATATTTTTGACCCCACTTTTCTGCATAAAATGCAATGAATCAAGTGGAAATATTTGTGCTGCAACAATGATTCATAGCTCGTTGGAAAGGTAATTAAATTCCGCATCTTTTCAGACCTCAGGCGTTTTGATATCTCATCTGGTTCGGCGGCAATACTTAAAAAACTACCAATTTTGGCGTTTTGACCCAGTTTTGAGCCCTCCCCTAAAGCTGATGCAATTTTTTCCGGATCAAATGCGACTCTTTAATGATCTTGTACTATCCTAGGGACCCCATTTCGCCAATAAAAACGGGGGGTCAGAAATTAAGATCCACCCTAGTGGTCAAAGTCCCTGTCCGCACCACACGCGCGGAATTGGCCGCGTTTGTTTTCTCAGTGTAAATCCTGTGTTCTGACCAACAGGAGATTCGGTCAGATTTTGTATGCTCAAAATACTTCGTTAGCATAAGCTACTTTTCATTTTCAGGCCTAGAATAGAGTGTAAGGTTTTCAGAGAGCACCTTGACAGGTTTGCCGCATCTCCAGCTGCAGCCGTCGCAGCCTCTCACTGCCATGTATCTCAGTGTGCCGTCGTCCCCCTCGCCCCACAGCCACACCTTGCTGCAGTTCGGGCTGCCGAGGAGGTGCAGCTCGATGCTGCTGTGGTCCTCCGCGAACTGCACGCGGGCCGTGACCGAGGCGTTCACCGGCAGGGCCACCGTGGGGAGTGCTTCGGGCAGAAGAGGCGTCACTTCGTCGCCGAATGGGACTCAAAGCGAACACGTGATCCCACCAACGGATAGCTCTCCGAGGGAGGAATCCATATTGATGGGATCACACACTCGGTCCGAGTCCTGTTCAGCGACTCTGGTGCTCAAAAGGCGTCAGGAGTTTCGTCTGCCAGCGCACTGTGGGCCAGAGGACCAGTGGAGGCGGCCGAAACTTACGAAGCGTTTTGAGCTCCAGAGTCGCTGAACGGGACTGGAACCGCGAACGTGCACTCTTCAAACCTTGCAAAGAATGTGTTCGCTTTACTATCTATTTGGTTTGCAGCTAGCGAAGAGTTTAGCTTGTTTAAATTACGAACTGGTAGTTCGGAATTTTGCGAACAATGTGTTTGCAAGGGTTCGCAATAGTAACAGGTTGTTCGCAAATTGCAAACTAGTGATTTGCAAAACGGATGCGTTCTTCGCATTGCAAACAAGTGATACTCTTCGCAAGCTTACAAATGCATCGGTTCGCAAGGTTCTAGGAGTGTGTGACCCCACCAATGGATTTCTCGTTCGGACACCCTTGGAATTTTATGATGACACGAGATGCGTAACATACATTCAAATTAAAACATACGTAATACGATGAAATCATTATGTTCAAAATTAAGCGTACCTTACGATGGCAAATCAACATAATATAAAAACGTTCGTAAGAAAATGAGCGTGGAGAGCAATCCATTGGTGGGGTCGCACGTACAGTTCGAGTCCTGTTAAGCGACAACTCACTGTGCACGTCGGTCGAGGGGGCACCCACATTGGATGTTTGGGGACACAAGATTTCTTCAGGCTTAAGATTTCATCGGATTTCGCAAGATTTTAACCACTATTCCGCTCATAATTAGCTTGTTTTTGTCCTTTGGGGGGCAAGATTTCAGATTTCCCACAGATTTCTAGCGCTAAGGGGACTAGGGGACAAGATTTTTAGAGTGGTTGCCCCCGACGTCGGTCCCGGAGTGGCGCACTCACCGTCGCAGCCCTCCTCGTCAGAGCCGTCGTCACACTCGCTGCCACCGTCGCACCTGTTGCCCCCAATAACGCACTTGCTGCCGTCCTTGCACGGGAAGTAATCCGACTCGCACTCGCCGGCCGCTGCGGACACGGACAGACTGTTCGTTGGCGGAGGATTTTGTACGCACAACGACGTGACTATTCTTCTAGCTGCTCTAGAAACTGAAGAGTGTGCATGGCATGCTCCCCCAGGGAGTATGCCACAAAGCACGCTCCATCCTGGAGTGTGCTTGAAAGCACACCCTACCCAGGAGCATGCTTGGCAAGCACGCTCTACGCAGGAGCATGTGACGAATGTGACAAAATGTCACGTTCGTTTGAGCAGTGTGTCACATTCGTTGGAACGTGAATAAGCTAATTTATGGCTGATTCACATCGAAACGAACGTGACACAATGCTCAAACGAACTTGACATTTTGTCACATTCATTTGAACGTGATGTCACGTTCCTAGGATGAGAGTGCGCAAGTCATCAGTAAACAACGTAAGTCATCAGTTTACGACTTTTGGCCGTTTTGAAAATTAGCAACATATTTAATGCTAAATTAGGCTACAACACAATTTCTAACAGTGTAACGTTGGTTGTAACAACACTTTGTCCTCAAAATTACAAACAACCAGGAAGAGGTCTGGAGGACGGCCTACCGAGTGAGGCGGCGGCGGCCAGAAGGCCGAGCAGGACGAGGAACCTTGTCGCCATCCTCCGAGGAAGGCGCGGGCACTACTGCCAGCTGCAGTGGCGTGACAAGCCGACCGCGTGGGCCGCGCCACGGCCGCGCTGAGCTGGCTGCGATAAGAAGGTTGAATCAAGGGGAAATCACTGAATTTCGGTGTACAAATATAATGAATTTCAGTCAAATTTCGATGAAATTCAGTCAAATTTCGATGAATTTCAGTCGAATTTCGATGAACTTTACATGTTTGACTAATTTCCGTGAACAAATTTGACTGGAGTTATTTCCCCTTGGGTTGAATATACCCAGGGTGGCCACCACGAGAAACATCTCGAAAGAATTCGAGGATAACCTTCAAACAATTCTTACAAAATCAGATATGCTCTTACCGAAATCCATGGAAATTTCGCTTTGACTCAATGAAATCCTACCAAAATTCATGCAGAATTCAAAAATTTGTACATTGTAATTGAAAGTTATTCCTCTTGCATGGTGGACCAAAATTTGTGCCCGCTGGAATGCCTGCATCTCTCTCCATGCCAGTGGAAGAACGGTCGAAGACCCACCACAGCTTAACTTTCTCCTCGGAGCTGGATACGACGAATGTATTCAATACCTGCGCGCATTTGCACTCTGACATTCCCGCCCTTTTAGCACACCCTGGAAGCTTTATTTAGAGAGCTCTCGCTCTACAAATCCAACTGCGTACATTTTACGCTCTAACTGGAGCATGCTTGGATGTACGCAATAACTAGAGCATGCCTTGGCAAGCACGCTCCAGTTAAAGTCAGGGACGCACCAGGCAGAGCATACACAGATAAATTCCTACAAAGAACTGCTCTTCGTATTACGAAGAAAAAGGCGGCTTCGCAGCCTGCGAAGGAAATCGTTTGTAATACGAACGATTTTCTTTGAAATACAAAGGAAAAATCCTTCGCAGGCTGCGAAGAAGTTCTTCGTAGGCTACGAAGAATTTTTCCTTTGTATTACAAAGAAAATCGTTCGTATTACAAACGATTTCCTTCGCAGGCTGCGAAGCCGCCGTTTTCTTCGTAATACAAAGAGCAGTTCTTTGTAGAGTTTTAAGTGTGTACATGGCCAAGTACGCTCCAGGAACCGCATACCTTTCAGGTACGCTGCAGACTGTGCATACCTGTCAAGCACGCTCTAGCTAGTGTACTTGCCAAGAACGCTTTATTTATACATGACCCAGTAATTAAATTAAATAAAAGAATATCCTTATGCGACAAGACTCTTCGAATGATGTCTAGGTGGTAGAATTTTGGAGGCAGTCTAGATCAATGATGGGCTGTCGATGCCTTTGCAACTCATGTCTCCTCATCACAGGCCGATCTACTTTAAATTATGAAACCAGACCCTTCCATATCAATCCGTGAATTTACTTCTGCTGTAAGGAACTTGGAACACAAGCCTCTCCAACTCACCTCATTGTGTCAAAGCCATCAACTTGTAGCCACGGCCGCAGAGCCAGCCGGTGGGCGAGCCCTAGGCTGTGATGATAACCTCTGCCGAGCCGTCCGCGGTGTGATTTGATGGGGCTGAAGTAGACTCCATAGGCGTAAGGGAGGGTGGGGCAGTTTGAAACAGGGGCAGTTCGAAACAGATGCCCATAGGGCTATTTATCATAAGGAGGGTGAGAAAACAAAATCTAAATGGTACCCGACTTTCATTTTTTGGACTTATTCGGTTTGCAATCCACAAGGCCGTGACCGGAGTGGTGTGGAGTTAGTAAAGAGTCGGTAAAATTCGACCACTCCCAGAAACAGGTAAAACTTAAATTTCGGGACCCAGGATCTTTCCGTCTGCGGTCTCTCAGTAATCAATTACCCGTATACTAATGACTTTATCACGAACTGTAGTCCTTTACGAATGTTCACCATTTGGAGATTTTATCATAACATAACCTATAAAGAGAATATGACTAAATGTTTGGATGAGTGTACTATGGGGCAGTTTGAAACAATCTTGCATGAGGCAGTTTGAAACAAGAGATTTGTTGTTTCAAAGTGCCCCGTGAGTCAGAATTCAGACGGTTAAATCACCTAGTTCATGCAGGACATATTCTTGGTTGGTACGGGCTGCCGAAGTGCCTGTTTCAAACTGTCCCACGGCTGTTTCAAAGTACACCTGATAAGTTCTAATTAACGCGCATACTAGTGTCATTCGGCAGTGGTTAATGTGAAGAAAGGTCTGGGCTATTAATCTGACACAAATGCAGCACCGACAGAAAAGAACTTCGCCCCTGAGATCGAAATTCCAAATTCTGTTTCAAACTGCCCCACCCTCCCTTACATGGATCTTTTCTGCACTCGCGAACGGTGGCGCACAACACTTTCTTTGAAAACAGCCAGGGGAGGGCAAGGTACTGTCGGTTCTGTACACTACATGCATGCTTGCAAGTACACACTTACAAACGCATGCTTGACGCATGGAGTTATACGACGTCAAGCATGCGTTTTTAAGTGTCTACTTGCAAGCATGCATTTGTAAGTGTGTACTTAGCCAAGCATGCGTTTGTAAGTGTGTACTTAGTAGACAGTTAGGTTTGCAGTGTACCTAGGTACTTAACTGGTAAAATTGAGAAGTCAGTACCTAGGTACTGTATTCGGACTCGAGCAAGTCCAGTACCTAGGTACTTAAGGGGGCACACCAGTGAAAATGCAGAGGTTTGGTTAGGTTAGGTTAGGAATGTGACACTCAAAGTTGACAAAAGTTTCAAATCGCTGTAAAACCTGAACGGTCACTCCAACCATCTCAGTTCAAATTACGATACCATTACTAGGTCTTAAAGTAAATAACAGGAAAAGTAGCGATATACATCGGCAACTTTGGCCCGTCCCGTTCATCAGGGAATGTGCAAATTTCGCCTATGTTTAATCCTGATGGGATTTGAACCTGAGTCTGGGGTCAAAACAAATGTTATTTTCGTCATCAGCGCCCTCAAAAAAGGCGTCACTGGGGTTGCCTGGCATGGGGCGTGTTTTCTACAGTCGTGTCCTTGCTGTCTTGTGTAACCATGAGCATGGACTTTCTCGCTGACGACCTGGAGATATCGTCGTCCATCTCCGAGAGTATTGAGATGGACGTTTCTGGCGTGCTGTTGGAAGAAAATCCTGTGGTAAGTACCCTTTTTTCTCGGTGTGTTGAAAGTATTGTTGCGTGAAATTTTGAGTCAGTCGAGTCAGTGCGTACGGTTAACCTTTCATCGTCCGCGAGAATATTCTGTGTCGCCGCTCCTCGTATTTGATTCGGCTTGTTCAAATCAGTGCTCGCAAGGGCTGTTTATTTCATTCTGTTGTCATACAGTCATGTCGGTTTTCGTGTTTAGCCCTTTGTTCGACCTGTTGTCGTTCTTTGATCACATCATTTTTGCCATTAAGAATGTGTGCGCGTGTAGGTTAGGCAGGTTACCCTTTTTCATGACAAGTCCTGTTTTTCTTGAACGTTCTAACGCCGGCCGGCGCCGGCCGACGCCGGCAGGCCGCAACAGGTCGTCGTGTCCTGTTCGGCGAATCGCGCGCCAGTTCTCCGAAGACGCGCCGTGCCGTGCCGCGCCTTTGTCGGTGTGCCGCCAGGGCAGTGTCGCTTTGTTTTGTTAAATTCATGATAAAATCGAACGAATTTCCTGTCCACCGTGCTGTCCCGAATCGTTATTTGATTCTCTAAAGTGTCTAAATCTCGCTGCACTCCGTGAACCGTGGGCGTCCTAACCTCGTCTCTGGCTTGACTCGCGTTGTGCGCGCGGCGCGTCGGGGAGGGACCGCCCTTAAATCACGTGTGTCAACAACTCTCTCGTTTTTTCAGCCCGATGATCTGGAGGCCCCACCGGCCAAGGACCCTGAGGCCGCGTTGCCCCCGCCCCCAGCCCCTGGCGAGGGCTACGTGGTGGAGGTGTTCCCCGAGGATCCTCAGCCCGCCCCGCAAGCTGTGCCTCCGCCCGCCCTGCTTGGAGAGGGTCTGGAAGGCAGGCCCCTCGCTAGGAGCAGCCCAGTCCATGTAAGTCATTTTTTAAAATTGAATTCTGCTTTTTTATTGCTTTATTCACTCACGTGAGTGGTTTATTTTTCAGGTGACCGTCTGGGACCGTCTAGGCGCCAAGCAGGATAGCGATACTGACGTGTCTTGAGAGAGCCTCCCATCCCTGGGACCTGTATCGCCTCGCCGACATGCGCTACCTATCCCGTTCCCCTCGCGCCACCCGCCCGGGCCGCCCCCGAGGGCTGTTGTGGAGGGACCGGGTGAGCAGGTCCCTACGAGGCCCCGTAATCCAGGCCAATATCAGTCATCATCGGACATAAGGACGCAGGTCAATTTTAATAGTTTTGAGAAAAACGGATTTTTTTGTCTCTACCACAGACATGTAAATATTTTTCATTTTTTTTTGCACAATGATTATTTAGAAGCTTCTGAACACTAAGAAAAAAACCAGAACACTGAGAAATCAATATTGAGGGAGAAAGACTGACTTGCGCGGTTAGGAACAGTCAAAAATTCTGACATAACAGCGCAAGTCAATGGATTTTAGTTGACTTGCACCCTTTTGTCAGATAATGATTGACATGCGCTCTTATGAACTATAAACGCCTTGACTTAAGTCCTTCTCACTGAGAATGAAAGAGTCACCACCATCGCCCTTTCATTGGGTAACGCACGCACCGTTGACCAAATTTGGGTGACGAGCCCGCGAAGACCAAATTTTGGGCAGTCATAAAATCGTCGCCCAAATTTGGGTAACGCCGTCGGCGGCGCCGTAAGGTCCTCGATGACGCTCTTCCGGGGCCACCACGATGACCCAATGTGGCGTTTAGGCCTCCGGTCATCGTGGTGGCCCCGGAAGGACGCCATCGGGAACCTCACAGCGTCGCCGACGGCGTTACCCAAATTTGGGCGACCAAACGCCTGTTACCCAATTTCGGGTGATGAATTTTTCGTCACCAAAGTTTGGGCTACGAAGTTGCATCACCCATTTAAAGGGCGATGGTGGTGACCAATTCATTCTCAGTGCTGTCTGATGATGAC